CATGACGTCACCGCCTCGTGACGGCGCGGGCCCCGGCGCTGACGCCCCTCCGCGGTGCACCTGTCTCTGATAGCACAGCGCCGCGCCCGCCGGCGGAGCCGCTGCATTCCAGGGCACCCGCTGCCGCCGCTACCGCCGAACCCCATCAGGTACATTAACAGCACGCCTGTTCGGTGCGTGGGCCCGGCGCGCGGCCGCCCCCTCGCGGCCGGCGGCGTCGCCTCGCCAGGTGGCGCCCGGCCGGCCGGCAGGCCGACCGGCTCCGCCCGGCGCCTGCGGCCGCGCTTTATTGCGTCTTTTTGCGCCGTCACCGCCGCACGGCGACCGGCCCCGGTGCTGCCATATGCGGCCCATGGCGCGCCCTGCACGTGCCGGCGCTCTGACGTCACGGAGAGGCGGGAGGACTGAGGGGAGGGGGCGTCGGCCGGCGTTCCGTGCGTCCGCGCGCAACCAGCCAGGGCTGGCTGGGGCAGCCCCTTTCAGTCCAGCTGGTGCGACAGCAGGAACGGGAAGTCGGCGAACGGCGCCGTCGCGTTGTGGCCGGCTGCGGACGAGAGCGGCCGGGTCAGTGCGAGACGGGGCCGGGCCGCTCGGGGACGGTCGCCACTCCGACATCACCGCCTGTGGGGCCGGCCAGGGGAGGCCGGGCGGAGCACGCCCAGCCCAGCGATTGCAGAAGTGCTGGTTAGGCGTGCTGTAGTGGGTGGATCCCGCCCTTTCTGTCGCGGTGAGCGGCAGGCGACGCCAGATAAAATCAGCAGCTGAGTGAGTCGTAAAGCCCTAGTGACACATACCAGCGAGTGGATAATACTGAGAAACATTGGCGGTGCTAAGCTCGAAAATACAGGCGTTCATCAAGGCCCAAAAACCTTGGAATAAGGGCAATTGCAACTGGCATCGGTGTGAGTGCTGTCGTATCATATATGGTATTCATTGCATATCGTCAAATCCATCGCATGGTGTAGTAGATGGTGCATGATGTACGTTCGGAGGAGGGAGCAGCGTTTTATGCGCCAGTTCCGCCGCTACGGGACATACTGGAGGACGGGAAGTGCGTGCGAGGCTTTCCGCAAAACCGCACTGCCTTGTTTAAACAACTAGAATACGCAAACATTTCGACGGGACTAGCGTCCGCCAAACTCCTGACGGAAGCCCCCGAGGTGGCCGGGTTACACGCCCCAACCGCGACCAAGTCATTCCCATCACGAAGCTGTGCCAAAACGATCTGGAAACCCGGATGGCCCCGTGACCACGGTACCAGGGTCTTTTTTTTGTCTGGTCATGCCCTGTGTTATAACCTGTTGCGATCCTACAAGGTTCGATGACGCTTGCGAGTAAATCGATCCCGCGTCTGCACCTTGCTTATTGCCGTGCTTCTAGCGGAATGTTTACGTGTGCTTAAGTTTACAATTGTTTACGTTTGAATGTGCGACATTGCGTGGATGTTCAAAGTCCCCAATCTGTCGCCATTTTCCACTTGCGATTCACAGATAACCTTCCGATAGTGGTCATGATAAAATGATTGTCCCTGGAATAGGCTTCAGGTTTATCTTCCTCTTCTCCAAGTGCTTCCCGGCAATGCCACGCAGTCTGCTATTAAAACCACCCAAGGGCGAACGCCAGGGCCGCGTTTGATCTGTCGTCAGCACGTTTGTCAGCACCAATCACAGCCCAGTATTCTCTCTATGTCGCGTTACCGTGCCCACAGTCACATGGTTGTGACGTCACGCAACGGCTGACGATGCTGACAGGACTTTTGTCAGCTCGTCAGCATATTTAGAGAGAGAAAGCGCCGCCAGATTAAATAAATCTAGGGTAAATGCGAAGCAGGATAAATACGAAGAACATTGGACTGCCAAGAGAAGTCATGAAAAGGTGAAGTAACAGTGATTGCCGTGGCGTTTAGTTGCCTTCATCAATAAACTAAGAGCTCTACAGTAATCGTTAAAGGTTGGAAAATAGGAACGACGCGCCTCGTGTCTCGAACTCGGGCCTTTGTCTGAACAATTCGAAGTTCCATTAAAAAATGGGCTTTATGTCAGCATAAGTAGCAGCGAAGGATCAATAGATCTTTTACAAAAACAGAAACGGTGAACAATCCAAATCGGAATGCAAGAAGTCTTAATGAGATTGGATGGGAAGAAACACTTAGCTTGCAGGTGGGATAGATATGGCAATACCGGAGCAGGGGGCGCACTTCTGTGCACCACTTTATAGGTAGTGCGTGATGGTAGGCGGTACGCTAGCGTTAGTGTGAGGTCTGAAGTAGTTAAAAGGGATATGAAATAAAGAAGGTAAATATGACAAACTTTTCGGTCGGCCTTCACATCGAACGTGACGTCAGCACGCATGACGTCACGCACTCCGGTGACAATGGTGCTAACGACAGATCAGACGGGGCCCAGAACACCGAGCCAGGGCCCTGTGAAAACGACCCTCTTTTCCCCCGCACGACACACACATACACACACACACACACACACACACACACACACACACACACACACACACACACACACACACACACACACACACACACACACACACACACACACACACACACACACACACACACACACACACACACACACACACACACATTACTCCCGATGCCCAGCAACCCCGCATCAGCAGAACACTGCCCCCCCCCCCCCCACTTCACGCCGCCGCCGCCATACCCGAAGCCCAGCCGCCGCCACCGAACCCTGCAGCCCTCACCTGAGTCCGTCGCGTAGCGCCGGGGTAGCAGCTGCCGGCGTGCAGCACGTCGATGACCAGGCCCGTGGCGCAAGCGTCCTTCATCATGTGGCACCAGGAGCGGTAGGTGAGGTGGTTGGAGCCGCAGACCTGCAGCTGTTTGGTGCCGCCCTGGCGCCGGCAGCGCAGCCGACAGCTGGTGCAGCGCGGGCGGCCGCCCCCGGGCTCAGCAGGCAACGTTGACCTGACTTGCAGCGTAACCTCTCGCAGGTCAGGCCGGCTGCGGTCACAAGGATCACAGAGGTCGGAGCAGGGTCACGCCGGGGCTACGGCGGGTCACGCCGTGCCCGTGTCGGGATCATGGTTGGATTACGCCAAGGTTGTGACCCCCTTGGTCAGGGCGATGTCACATGGAATGACACCCGGGTGATGCGATCCGTCTCGGATCACACAGACACACCAGGGCCATGCTCGGCTCACACCAGAGTCGCACTACATTGGGACCACACTGAGGTCGCACGGGGCAGAGGCGGATCGAGATCAATCACCATCTCCATGGTTCGCGTCCGAACCGGGGGCGCCAAAAACGACCCCTCAATCCGACGCCGTAAGACGTGACCTCACGCGCGTCCAAAGGTTACTCCATTTCGTGACAGAAATACCAGAACACCTTTGGAAATTCTTTGAAGCAATGGGAGCGATCACATGAATACTTCACTTGGCAATCCGTCTCTGAATGGGTCCGTGGCGATCTGGACACCCGCGGAATATGCCCTGGTCGTGGCATACGGTGTCACGTCGCGCGGAATACGCCGCTGTCATGTCTCACGGAATAAGCGCTGTCATGGCGCATGGAATACGCCGCTGTCATGTCGCACGGAATACACCGGTGTCATGTCGCACGGAATACGCCGGTGCCATGTCGCACGGAATGCGCCGCTGTCATGTCGCACAGAATACGCCGGTGTTATGTCGCACGGAATACGCCGGTGCCATGTCGCACGGAATGCGCCGCTGTCATGTCGCACGGAATACGCCGGTGTCATGTCGCACGGAATACGCCGGTGTAATGTCGCGCGGAATACGCCGGTGTAATGTCGCACGGGGTAAGCCGATGTCATTTCGCAGGAAATACGCCGGCGTAATGTCGCACGAAATACGTTGCTGTCACGTCGCACGGACTAAGTCGCGGACATGCCGCACGGAATACGCCGGCGTCGTGTCGCACGGAATACGCCGGTGTAATGTTGCAGGAAACACGCCGGTGTAATGTCGCACGGGATATACTGCTGTCATGTCGCACGGAATACGCCGCTGTTATGTCGCACTGAATATGCCGCTGTGATGCGCACGGAATATGCTGCTGTCATGGCGCATGGAATACGCCGCTGGCATGTCTAACGGAATACGCCGCTGTCATATCGCGCGGCATACGCCGGTGTCATGTCGCACTGAATACACCACTGTCATGTCGCACGGAATAGGCCGGTGCGCACTCCTCGGCATCCACGTCCTGAACAGCTGAACCGGTCGCGTTTCTGCGCCGCGCGCCGTGCAGCGGAGCGAGATGACGTGCATGTGTTCCGGGACGGCGCGCGGCGGGAGGCAACACTCGGTCCCAAGGTTGCCCGCCGCCCTTGCGGCGACGTCCCTCACAAGGGCGATCCGGATTTCCCGGGGAAAGTACGCGGCTGTGGCGGTGTCATCCCCGATTTGTCGCCAGATGAAGGGCCGCGCCCGGCCGGTCAGCCGGCGTGCCCTCACGCCCGGCTTGGCTCGGAACGCCGCCACCACCAGACGGTCCAGACGGCCGGCACGCCGCCGCCCAAGCCCCGGCCGCACCGGCTCGGCGCGCTCCACGGCAGCTGGTCATGAATGGAACCGGTCCATGCGGGGCACCGTGAACGCCGCCCGCCCCAACAGACCAGCGAACGGCCCCGGTCGCTGGAGGCTGGCCGGCGACGCTCCGGGCCACCCCAGTCGACGCTGGTACTCACGCCGGCAGGGGCCCCGATAGGCCGTTGGGATGGCCTCGCCCAGCAGGCAGGCCGCCTGACGAGCGTGACAGCGGCTGGTGTAGGTGACGCCGTTGACGCCGCAGACGGGGTTAGGCTTGCGGTCGTGGCACTTGCGCAGGCAGCGTACGCAGTGCGGCTGCCGGTTTTGGTCCAGAACGCATTGCTCGCCAGCATTCGCGCACTTGATCGAATCGCAGGACTCTGTAAAATGAGACGAGGGAGGGAGGGGGTCAGGCGACGGAATGATCGCGCATCAGTCACGGGCTGTTTGTTCAATGGTGGCGGTCGCTGGTGTCGGCTCGTTGAACAGTGGGGCGTCTGTGTGGGCGCGGCACGCCGGCCTACTCATTGCATCAGGGTGCATCGGGTCACGTTGAAATCAAGGTGAAGTGGGCGGGTTTGGCCGAGCTGCACGAAGTCGGCCTTTTCTGACGTTCTCGTGCAGAAGGCTAGCGAGCGGTACACGACACCGCGCAGACGTCAACGTGTCATGACTTTGTACCATAGCTATGTCGCTACTGAACGAAAAAGTATTGGCTACGTTTTGCATTCCATCGATGTCGTAACTTATCGATAACAGATGCACATCACGCGCAGCTGATGTTAACATTCGTATCTCCACGAACAAAGTCAACGCGGGCGGTGACCCCGACTCCGTGCACGTAACGGGCGATGTGACGTCATATCTGATAGCTCTATCTTCCAAAGTGTGGTGCATAATACGCAGAAATCCTCCCTATCATAGCCTAGTCATTCGCAGGCCCAAAACAGGATGCATCTTCCAGCAATGTGCTTAGCCGAGAGCTGGAGAGCTGAAATCGGCTCTGCATACAAATGGTGTAAACCCGTGTCTGCACCGGAAACACTCAGGGGCCACCAGTTTTGCTTAACGCTGCTATGCGAAGAGATTATGACTTTGCTGTCTAACATGCAGTGGTCTAAAAATGTATATTGGAGTCTGAGCCGGCGCATTTTTTTGCCAGCAATCAGTGTTACCGGTTATACCCGTCTTTCAGTAGAGTCTACGCGTTGTCAGCTTTTTGTTTCTGTCCGTTTGAGAGAACGAATCACGAAAAGGGAAGTGGGTGAGCAAGTACGTATACGTCTGAAGTTGTTAACGGTCCAAAAAATACACTTGTGAAGCAATATACCCATACACAAATGCACCCTTTGTCTCATATAGAAAGCTAGACGTCGAAGAGACGAGAACTATTGTCTCTGCAGCTAAACCCGCACGGTGCTAGGCGGGTAAATTGCTGGTTGCAACAGATGAAGCAGACAGGCCAGTGCCCCCCCCCCCCCCCCCATCAGTATTTTGATTCTCACCTCGCAAGTGGACATAGCCTGCCGCAGGAAATGGGAAGCATGTGTCATTCGTCAGCACTCGGAACAACCGGCACACAATTCAAAACACTGAGACGCTGGTGGTCTTAAGCTGAACAGTCATGAACTATTCGCTCGAGAGATCGTGTGTAATTGCTTTGGTTTGTAAGCTCAAATTCAGACCATGAAAAGAAACGAAGCTTTGCATGATCAAAGCTTTTTTATTTGCAACTGTTCGGGAAATATTACACCTTGATGATGATAGGAGAACCAGGAACGGATCTTGAAGGACGCGTCGGGCCTGGCCGAAGCAGAGCTTTTTGGCGTATCGTTTTCACACAGACCTACGGTTTTTAGCGCTTTTAGCGAGTTTTGATGATTTTTTTTCCAGAGACAACAGATTCTAGAGTGGCGGGTCAAACATGTGGACAGTTCAGCACACGCACAGAGGTACAAAGGTCGATCCATGGTGACAGCTGTCATAAAATAAACGCATTCTGCGTAACAAAATTCGTTCGATCTCCCAAATGAAAAAAGTGCAAGCAAAGCCGGTATCGCCCCGTCGTGCGGTCAGCGTGCCTGCAGTCAGGCAAACATAGGACATTGCTTTCGCTCAAAGACCTAAACACTGAACTGAAACTGAAACATGACTTTCGGTCCGATTTCACGGTTATGGTAGCTGTCCTGGTTAGACACAAAATATCGTAGCCATGCAAATCAAAACATAACCAAGAAGTTCACGAATGTGAGCAATATTTCACCGAAGTATTTTGCCATTAGTTCGCCGAAGTACTTACTTCTTCGCACTGCAGCAGAAAGAGAATACCCGAATTATTGCAAGTGCAATAAAGTATGGTAAAAAAGGAACACCTTTACAAATGCTGCACGGTACATGAAGGCGACCGTGACGGACAATGACATAAAAATGTGACCACGGACCAATAAAAGTTCCCCAAGTCACGTTCGCAACCGGAACGACCTGTAGTATGACGGGACACGCTAAGTACACAGCCGGCTTACGAAATGCAAGACAAGATCTGATCTGCCCGTAGCCGGCTTGACCAGGTGGTCGACTCAGAGACAGCTGCTCAGATATTCACACAGATAAGCACCAATCACGCCCGCCCATTGACCTGCCGTGAAGGTTGCTCTTACGTCGTAAAACCGGCCCGGGAAGCCCAGCGCAGTCCGGACCTGGCCAGCCCAGGTCCCGACGCCGGTACCAGCCCACTTCCGGTCGCGACCAGTCTGGTCTGGGTTCAGTCCGACCAGCTCGACCCAGCCCGACCTAGCCCAGTCTTGGTGGCGACCCAGCCCGGCCCAGACCCAGCCCGATCCGGCGCCGAGCGTGGCACCCGGCTCTTCTGCGGCGTGTTGGCCGGAGCCGAACACGCCGCGCGCCGCATCTCCGCGTGCCCGGCCGGAGTGGGCCGCTCCAAACAAGGCCGGCCGGGCGGCGCGGCGGCGGCGCACGCCAGACCTCCGCACGCACGCAGCGCGGCCAGACCGCCGGCCGCCGGCCGCGAGCGCGGCGCTCGCGCCGGCGCGGCGGCCCGGCAGCTGCGAGGGCCGGCGCCGACCGGCCGACACACCCCGCCGCTATCGGGCCCGATCTGACCGGGACAGCGCCCCGCGCCGGGCGCAGTTCAATCGCAACGCCAGACGACTGCCGGCGCACGGAGAGTGGACCTACGCAGCCGGGCGTCGCTCAAGGGGCGAAGCGCGGCAAAAAACGGCCGAAAACAAGCCCCAGTTTTCTCGACGACCCGCGCTGGGCTGCCACACGCGCTGCCGCACGCTGCTTACCTTGGCACTCGCCCTTGTAGGCCAGGGTGAGACCGTTCTTTTTGCGGCACTGGCGGCGCAGCAGCTTGCACGCGTTACGGTAGGTGCGTCCGTCGCTGCCGCAGACGGGGCCCGGTCCAGCCCGGAGTGCGCGACACTTGGGCGCGCACACGCACCGCGGCACGCCCGCCCGCCGCCGGCACTTTTGCCCCTTCGGACACTTGACCTTGGCACAGGTTGCTGCAAGAGAGCACAGGTGCGTTACGCTCATAAACAACAAGCGGGAATGGCTAGAAACGGAGACCGCCTTAGCTTCGAGCCGGTCTAGTGGTACATTCGTGAGGCGCTTGTGAGCGACGGTGAGGGCGAGAGGTCCACAAACTTACGTCACCTCCCTCGTTTCGAGGTTGCGCACACCTGCCACGTAGGTGAACGCGTCCGAAGTGGCTCCACAGGGCCTCGTGCAGGTGTGCGTGGTGGGTGTGAGCCGTAGTGGGCTCGTAGCCGTAGTGCGTGGGTAGGTGGGCTCAGGTGCTAGCGGATTAATATCACGCGCACCACAGCGTTCATTAATGAAACATTTACACCGTCCAGCCTACGGGTTCCGGCGGGTATGCAGACTGACGAAGGCATGAACTAAGGAATGGAGGCATGCAAGCCAGTACGCCAGCCAGGTACTTTACGCCAGCCAGGCCTTTGGTGTTCAGTATCGGTGATCATCGTACAACATTTCACTGTTCTCTCACTCGACTTCCGGTGGAAGGTTTTCGTGCGGTTGAAATGTACAAAAAACGTACTTATATTTATTCACGTTTCAACGTCTCGAGTCCCGTCAGTGTCAAGCAATGGTCGAACGACGGGGATCTTCACGAGACAATACAGGCACAGGCCACCTGGGTCAATAATTTCGGTGACTCGGTGGACGTCCTCAGTCAGGGTACGCTACTGGAAGACGACTCTTTCATAACGATGCTGAGATACCCTCCACAAAACCGACATTATCAGTCAGCCGTCAAATGCAGCCCACGCCAGGACTACTGCACCTCACTCGTCACATAAACCTTCCGCATGAGCTAGCAAGGTTCTGCGGCACGGCCCTAAAGAGCTGCTCAAGCGGCAGGAGACAAATAAAGCCCGCTCCGCTCGCCCCCTCACACCCTATCCGGCCGCGTGTCTGTCTCGATCAGGGGGCCATGCCATGGTGAGTCACACACAGCGGCTTGTCGGCCACCGTCCGCACATGGCGACGACAGGCGGCCGCTGAGGACGGCTCGGTCCGACCTCGTCCCCGTACCGAGAACTAATCGGCCCCGGGGCGCCCACGGCCCCAGCGCGGCGAGCCCACAGAATGGCGCGCTGGCAGTGCCGCCGGCCGTTACGACCCGCTTGCGACGCCCCTGGCGGTGTTCATTTAATGCGGCGACGCGTCCCCGGCGTCCCCGTCCCCGTCCCCCGTACGTCTAGCTTTCCAGACGGACGGCTCGACCAATACGCCACTGCCCCCCCCCCCCCCCCCCCCGGCCGATGCAGTGCAGGCATCGAGAGACCAAAAAACGAGCACACTGCGAAGACGAGGAAAGACTCAGACAAAACGGTGCTTTCCTGCACAAAACCTGCAAGAGCTCCAAAAATTGGTACAGTTCCGAAGCTACAAGTTCAAGTAGGTGCACTGCACGCTACATCTCAGTTATTACAAGTTATGTGACCACATAAATTACCAGCAAACGTTGCATGCAAAAATGAAAACTAACCAATCCACCCAAACCATATAATCACCTTAGAGCTGTTTGAAGTAAGGCCATGCATTTTCTTATGAGGTTCAGGCAGTCATTCAATTAAATGGCCGCAGAGCGGCTTATTGTAACGCTTAATTATTTGTTTGCAATTATGATTTCATAACAAAAGCCATGTATTTTATAATCATATTACTGCAAACTAATATGGAACATCTCAGCCATTTAGGAACAATTTGATCGGGTTTTGACCTGGCGGGTAGACCACTATCTCAGAAAAAATATGTGAACAACGCTTCCTCCATTTCGTCTTCCCCTAACGAGACCAGCTATTTTTGCGGAAAGCAGTTTCCCACCATGACGACTCCCGAACACCCGGGGAGTTGTCCTCTTTGTGCTTGGCCTTTGCCCATATGGGCATGAATCAAAAGGCCGTCATATCACCAGGTGAACTGGACTAGCGCTAAAGCCCACATTTTGCGGAATTATGACAACAAAAAGGAAAGAAAACTGGTGAAAGTGATGGTGCATCATTCCGGAAAGTATCAAACGCAGATTTGAACAGCATTAGACGCACAAATAACTGTTTGGTTGCCTCGATCCCGCTGTGCCGAGATGAGTCGAGTCGACAGAAATGCTCGCTGCAAAACTATCCTACTTAGGGTCATTCATCATTTATATAGAGATGAAGTCCTTTACATTAGTGCTCACCCTAGTTAAATCAAAGTTGTACGCGATTTGCCGCCGGATTGGCAGCGTACCGACGCTTATATCCTGGCAGGAACAGTCTGCCATCCACGGCACTTGGCAAAATGTGCACTGATTGGGTGCGAGGCAAATATAGTTATCCCATCATCTATTTCTGAAAATGCCGAATTGCTCAGTCATTTGCGTAGTCGTTCTCGTTTCCTTGATCTGATAACTGACATTCGAACCATACATGTGCAGCAGCTTTCTTAAGAGCTGTCATAAGACCGTCATTTCCTCGAGTGGGTGCACTTTGGGCTGCTATATTTAACTTGACGAACGTGTCCGTTCATATCTTACGCAGTTGAAGTAAGCGTCCACTCTGAACCCAGGGCACCGGACCCGCTTATCGCACGTAATCCTAGCCAACGTGCAGCATATCAGCACACCCGGTATTGGAAAGAGCTTCGCAGAAGACGGCTTTGAGCGGGGAACTCCAGGTCAGAGCTGTCGTGCCGGACAATGTCCTCGGCCCTTCCGTCACACCCAGCTCACGGCACGCTTGGGGCACACCCTAACCACGACACATGGGCCGTCCTGACCCGTCCTGACCCTGACCGTCCCGTAACCACGGCACGCCTGGGGCACACCCTAACCACGGCACGCCTGGGGCACACCCTAACCACGGCACATGGGCCGTCCTGACCCTGACCGTCCTGTAACCACGGCACGCCTGGGGCACACCCTAACCACGGCACATGGGCCGTCCTGACCCGTCCTGACCGTCCCTTAACCACGGCACGCCTGGGGCACACCCTAACCAAGACACATGGGCCGTCCTGACCCGTCCTGACCCTGACCGTCCTGTAACCACGGCACGCCTGGGGCACACCCTAACCACGGTACATGGGCCGTCCTGACCCTGACCGTCCTGTAACCACGGCACGCCTGGGGCACACCCTAACCACGGCACATGGGCCGTCCTGACCCGTCCTGACGCTGACCGTCCCGTAACCACGGCACGCCTGGGGCACACCCTAACCACGGCACGCCTGGGGCACACCCTAACCAAGACACATGGGCCGTCCTGACCCGTCCTGACCCTGACCGTCCCGTAACCACGGCACGCCTGGGGCACACCCTAACCACGGCACATGGGCCGTCCTGACCCGTCCTGACCCTGACCGTCCCGTAACCACGGCACGCCTGGGGCACACCCTAACCACGACACATGGGCCGTCCTGACCCGTCCTGACGCTGACCGTCCCGTAACCACGGCACGCCTGGGGCACACCCTAACCACGGCACATGGGCCGTCCTGACCCTGACCGTCCTGTAACCACGGCACGCCTGGGGCACACCCTAACCACGGCACATGGGCCGTCCTGACCCTGACCGTCCTGTAACCACGGCACGCCTGGGGCACACCCTAACCACGGCACATGGGCCGTCCTGACCCGTCCTGACGCTGACCGTCCCGTAACCACGGCACGCCTGGGGCACACCCTAACCACGGCACGCCTGGGGCACACCCTAACCAAGACACATGGGCCGTCCTGACCCGTCCTGACGCTGACCGTCCCGTAACCACGGCACGCCTGGGGCACACCCTAACCAAGACACATGGGCCGTCCTGACCCGTCCTGACGCTGACCGTCCCGTAACCACGGCACGCCTGGGGCACACCCTAACCACGGCACGCCTGGGGCACACCCTAACCACGGCACATGGGCCGTCCTGACCCGTCCTGACGCTGACCGTCCCGTAACCACGGCACGCCTGGGGCACACCCTAACCACGGCACGCCTGGGGCACACCCTAACCAAGACACATGGGCCGTCCTGACCCGTCCTGACGCTGACCGTCCCGTAACCACGGCACGCCTGGGGCACACCCTAACCACGACACATGGGCCGTCCTGACCCGTCCTGACCCTGACCGTCCCGTAACCACGGCACGCCTGGGGCACACCCTAACCACGACACATGGGCCGTCCTGACCCGTCCTGACGCTGACCGTCCCGTAACCACGGCACGCCTGGGGCACACCCTAACCACGGCACGCCTGGGGCACACCCTAACCACGGCACATGGGCCGTCCTGACCCGTCCTGACGCTGACCGTCCCGTAACCACGGCACGCCTGGGGCACACCCTAACCACGGCACGCCTGGGGCACACCCTAACCAAGACACATGGGCCGTCCTGACCCGTCCTGACGCTGACCGTCCCGTAACCACGGCACGCCTGGGGCACACCCTAACCACGACACATGGGCCGTCCTGACCCGTCCTGACCCTGACCGTCCCGTAACCACGGCACGCCTGGGGCACACCCTAACCACGCCACATGGGCCGTCCTGACCCGTCCTGACGCTGACCGTCCCGTAACCACGGCACGCCTGGGGCACACCCTAACCACGGCACATGGGCCGTCCTGACCCGTCCTGACGCTGACCGTCCCGTAACCACGGCACGCCTGGGGCACACCCTAACCACGACACATGGGCCGTCCTGACCCGTCCTGACGCTGACCGTCCTGTAACCACGGCACGCCTGGGGCACACCCTAACCTGTCAGCAGGACGCCACACCTGGTGCCACCCGGTCTCGCGACCGTCCCAAAACCGTACAGTCGTCGTCCAGTCACCTCCCAGTGACCAACCTCTGACAGTTTCCTGACCGTCTCGTGACCTTCCTGTGACCTTCCTGTGACCGTCCGGCGACCGTCCGGCACGGCGTCTGCGAGGCTGCGGGAGCGAGGCAGAGACGGCCCTTCGCTGCGCTCACTCGGCACGCCCCAAACACGGTACGGCGGCGGCGG